AAGTATTCAGTTCGAGATTAAGTTTATATAGATTAGAAGCTTAATTAGTATGTATATAAATGTATTTGTAATAAAATACATAATATCTGGCAATCGATCACTTCACTCTTGCAGCGATAGTTATTTAATAAACAGCTGAAAGCAGCCTTCATTTGGATACTCTGTTTTGTAAAGCTGCAAAGGCGTATTAGCATTTAGTGTGAGATATTTTGGATCTATTGTTAATAACAAATTGACAGAAGCTTAGACCAGCGAGCAAATATGAAATAAATCTTAAATAATGACTGACTCAACTTAGGTATTCATAGCCATAATAACTGTCTTATGCGAGTCGCCTTTAACTCTTCTGCAAAGCGTCGACGCGCCTTGGACTACACCCAGATGGCATTTACTACACATTACCAAGTTGTTTATGTTCTTATGAATGTTGTGGGCTGGCATAACTCGGAGTTCGAAGTGGAAGATGTTGGCTGAGTATGTGGTCGTGGGCGTAGGCGTGTCCGGCAGCCCACACCTCCCTCGTGGCAAGCGTTGCTTTTTTGCAAATAGTTAGTTAAGCGTTAAATTGAGTTGGCACCGAGATTCCTATTCCGTCACTGCGTGCAGCCATTCCTTAACTGGCCAGCCTGCTTAATTGCCTAATTAAGCACTGAGATGGATGCAGCTGGAGGAGCTGTGGCAGCCCACGCGGCTAGCTCCAAAATTGCAGACTGTTTGACTGCGCCACGGCTCATCTGTCAGCTGTGGTAAAGATTGCCCCAATGCGATCCATTTGCAAAGCACTTGCCCACTCTTGGCGAAGAACTGTCTGCACACGCGAGTCGCTGACATGTACGCTAATGAGCCATGAGTCGAATCCTACGGCAGCTGCCTGCTGCCTGCTCGAGTGGATCGGACAGCTGCGTCGCTGATAAGCAAAATTTATCATTGAATGCAAACTGTCGCCTGGCTGTCGGATTAGCGGCGTCAAGAAGTCAACTGCCATTTATTTGCATATTCATAAATCTGAGCTAAGCACAGCCACAGCCCTGCCAGATCCGCGTTGCGTGCGCAGAATGCCTCCAGACTCAATTGGCATGGACTGTGCGCTAATTGAAATACATATGTATTTATTTGCATTTAATTGAATCCGCATCAGTCTGTCTGGTGGATGCTCTAGCTGCTGCTGCTGCTGCTGCAGTTACTGGCAGAGTGAGCCGCTTGTTTTGCTTTCTGCTGCGTAATCAACTAATGCTATAATCCGATATGCATCTCTTCAATTTGTCACGTACGTAGCAGAGTACAATCCGTCTTCAGGATGCCAAACATAGCGATTCCCTTGGTAAATGAACTTCTTAGAAATCTGATCATCTGCAACAACTTTTACTGATAACATAAGCGACTCTACACAGCCGTTACAATATGTTATACTTATCGTAATATAAAGTTCTGATAGTAAGAGAATATTTTGTTGAAATATTAATAGGACAATTTGCATCGGTTTTTATATGTGACTGCATCGCTCTTTAGCAAATAAAACCCTTTAATGAAATGATTTGCGCGCTTTGAGTTTGTATTGCAAGAGATGAAACTTATTTTCTTAAAGTGACAAACATATTTTAAATAATTCCTTAACACTAAAAGTGTTTTTTTTTTAAGTCATTAATTGATTTAACTGAGGTATATATAACACTAAGCTAAACCAAACTGTCCTAGCCAAAGCAGTTAAAAATTGCAGGTCAAAAAGTAATTAAGAGCTATAAAAAAAGAAGTGAAATTTTGTAATTTAAAGGCATGGAACTGTAGGCATTATAATTTTGGTATACATATACAATAGTTAGATAAAGGGGGAAATCTGGAAAGATAGCTGAAAAAGGCATAAATTCTCTTCTTGTTAAATTTCATTTGATGTGCCATACGAAGAGAAATGTTTATAATGTCAAAACCCTTCCGAATGGGCTTCAAGAAATGTCGAAATGTGGAAGTGCAGAAAAGCTACTACATTCAAGATGTTGTAATAAAATTTTACGAGCGCGTAGCAACTGGCAACAGCATTTTGGTCGTCTCGAAACTGAACAAAGAGAATAAACAAGACAGCCTAACAAACTAACAATATCCGGGCATAGCTGGCGCAGACTGAAGCCACTGAGAGAAGGACACAAAACAAATAAATATCAAGAGCCTCATGAATGAATCAGAGAATCGTGTGGCTTTTTTATTTCATGCGGCATTTGGCCCAGCGATAGAGATTCACGTTCACTTTGTTGCTGTTGCTAGCCGGCAGACCAGGTTCAGGTACAGGTCCAGGTCCAGGTCCAGATGCAGATACAGGTCTGCAGGGCGCAGAGCGCAGGGCGCAGCGTCTGCGCATGCGTGACGCCTGTCAAGGCGGCGACCGGCCGTGAGAGCAGCTTTCGCAGCGTTTTGTATTTGTGCAGCTCCTTTTTGGGTCTGGCCAGTGGCCAGTGGCCAGTGATCAGAAACATGTTTCCTTTTTAGGGCCATGGACGTGGGTCATGCTGCGCAGCAACAGCGCAAAACTTGTTCTCGCCGCTGTTGCATATTAAGCAACCTTGGGGAATAAGGAAGTCGATGTCGAGAGTCAAAGCAGAAGATGCTGACGCCGACCGACATCGGGACTGTCTGTTTCCAGCTGCTTGCCTAAAAGCCACTTCAGCTGTTTGGCTTTCTACTGCGCTACAATTGCTTGCGATTTCCAGCCCCTCGATCGAGCAATGCAGCATAATTGGGCATAAATAAATAAAAGGCCAAGCAAAATATTGCATTTGCTGCGCTGCCGAGGCGAAGACACTCGAACTCCTACATACACATGCACACATGTGCCCTATATGCAGATACATTCATTTGGGTGTATTTGCCATATGCTTTGCTTCGTGCCCCTGTCGAGTGGCCTATTGAGACGCGTTCGATCGCAATTTTCGCCAGCTATTTTTGTGGCAACCTGTGTCTGTCCCCTTCCTCTGTTTGCATTCGCATTTTAACATAAATGGGCGCACATTTCAAAGCAAAGAAATTTCTTTGTTTTTTTTTTTTGGCTAAGAGATAGAGAAGATGGACTTGCCAAATCGTAACTTCATGAAAAGCCCAAAAGATGGAAAGACTCGGGCTAATTGAATTGAGTTAATTAAAGCCTATATTAAATTTATGAGAATCGCCTAGAAGCGCGATAGTGTGCATCAGGTGAACAAGTTTACTAAGCATACTAAGCAAAAGCATCTACAATAAAGATCAGAGTTCGAATCTCAATTATATTGTTTTCGTATTTTCTTAAGCTTTATTTCTAACAATTTTATATAAAAACTAAATTTTTTAATTCAGCTTTACTAAGAGTAAATAAAACAAAACGTAGCACAACGAAGCATTGCAAGTTGTTCAGCTCTTAAAGTTCATATCTAAAGAGTTTCGCTAAAAGTTTTGTTAGGAGAGTCGTAATAAAGCGTCTGGCCTGAAGAGAGTTTAATAAAAGAGAATTGAGTTCTCTTGCCAAGCGAAGGTCGCAGCTTATAAAAATATAATTATTTGCAAAAAATTGCAACATTTACTGAATTTTGTGGAAGGCCAAAAGTCAGCTTCGTTGCGTTGTTGCCTCTGACCAAATAAAGCTGAGCTTAATATGAAAATATATAAAGCCCTAGTGCATGATTGTCCAAATTTATTTGTTACAATATGGGAGAAATGGCAATCAGCTTGTTGCAACATGCGTGGCATGATGGCCAATAAAAGCGCACCTCTCTAAAAGCCATATCCCCCAGTTGCAATTACAATGGTAAAAGCTCCTTACAGCAGAATGCACTGCATAAATCACACTTAAGCCGCCCAAACCCTAAGAGGAACCGTAGCCTAACCCTTAGCCAGCAGCCCCTACTCGAGTGCATGTTGCCAAGCCAAGCGAGCACAAACTGCATCAGGAATTTACTTGGAATTACCAGAAAGAGGAGCAGAATAAGTGCGAGAAAGAAACGGCAGTAAAAGCAGTTTTCACTTCACTGGCAAGTGGCACATAAATTTCAGCAAGGACACCGGCGCACTTAAAGAAACAGCAACAAAAACCACCAGAACAACAACAATAGCAACAACAACAACAGCGCCGTGAGCAACGATGACAGCTCCTTATAACTGGGCAAAGTGTTCATTGCTCTGATTCGGGCTTGGGCTTGGGCTCGGGCTCTACCTTTCACCCAACCAAAACACGAAAAAAAGATTATGCAAAGAAAAAGAAAACAGGAAATCTTTGCAAATATTTGGTGACAAGAGCCCTTCAGCCTAGCTGCTGTCTGTGGGAAGGTCAATCGGTGCATAAAATTTGCATCAGCAGCTGCAAAAGGCGCAGCAGCTGCTCTTGCCTCGGCGGCTTTTGATTAACCAGCTAGATGCTTAAAGGCGCACAAGTCTTAACCTAAATACGAAATACGAAAAAGCATAGATTGATGCAAAGTCAACACTGTTTGGCAACAGTCTTAGCTCTAGCTATTTTTGTGAATGGTGAGCTAATAAAACCGAAAAGAAATCTTGTTTAATTAACTCTCTTGAATACGCAACAAGATTTAGTTGACTTAGAGCTACACTTTCGAATATTGTGATCTACTTTGACTTACACTTTGACAAGAGAACATACCTACTTACATGCATAAATAGAATAAGAGAATAAACATTTTGAAGGCACATATATCTCTATCTCTCTCTCATACGCTGTCTCCCTCTCATACGCTGTCTCACTCTCATTCTACCTCTCTCTGTGCCCATCTCTTCCTATCCTAATGTCTCCTGCATTTGTCTCTCTCTCTCTTCCTCTTTCTTTCTCTCCCTCTTTCTCTCTCTTACTCTTTCTTCTTAGTCTTTCTATCTCTTTCTCCCTCTCTTTCTCACACCCTCTCTTTCTATGCCTTTAGCTTGCTCTAAATCTCTCTGCCTTATCTTTCTCTCTTTTATCTCATTCTTCCTCATTTTCTTAAATACATTCGCACAAAACTAATTAAAAAGCTTTTTTAATCTACTTTCAGAACAAGATTTAATGCGTTTTGCGCTCGTGTCGTAATGTAGCAGCAGTCGTAAGCCAAGTTAGTAACAGCATTTTAGCCAAGCCGCCGCAATATCTTAAAGTGAAAGATGCCGCAGTGCAGGGCTCATCTGGCCATTTGCTGCCTGGCGCTGTTTGTGTTCGGGCTACACTTGCTGCCACGCCTAGCCGATGGCAAAGAACAACGGGAACACTTGGCAGGCGAGTCGCATGCTAAGCAGCAGCATCGCAGCCACCCAAACGGTGGGTCTAAGCGCTACTCACGTGACTCGAATGCCCCTCGCGAGCGACGGCCAAACATCATCCTCATCCTGACCGACGATCAGGACGTTGAGTTGGGCTCGCTCAATTTCATGCCACGCACCTTGCGGCTGCTGCGCGATGGAGGCGCCGAGTTCCGCCACGCCTACACAACCACTCCCATGTGCTGCCCGGCGCGATCGTCGCTGCTGACGGGCATGTATGTGCACAACCATATGGTGTTCACGAACAACGACAACTGCTCGAGTCCACAGTGGCAGGCGACGCACGAGACGCGCTCCTATGCGACCTACCTGTCCAACGCAGGCTATCGCACCGGCTACTTTGGCAAGTATCTGAACAAGTACAACGGTTCCTATATACCGCCTGGTTGGCGCGAGTGGGGCGGCTTGATCATGAACTCCAAGTACTACAACTACAGCATCAATCTGAATGGGCAAAAGATCAAGCACGGCTTTGACTATGCCAAGGACTACTATCCCGATTTGATAGCCAACGACTCCATTGCCTTCCTGCGCTCCTCCAAGCAGCAAAACCAAAGAAAGCCCGTGCTGCTCACCATGAGCTTCCCGGCCCCACATGGCCCCGAGGACTCTGCGCCGCAATACAGCCATCTCTTCCACAATGTGACTACGCATCAGTGAGTTCCTTCCTTTCCATTTCCTTTATAGCTTACTAATATTTATTGAAACTTTAGCACGCCCAGCTACGATCATGCACCCAATCCCGATAAGCAGTGGATCTTGAGGGTCACCGAGCCCATGCAGCCGGTGCACATGCGCTTCACAAATGTCCTGATGACCAAGCGCCTGCAGACACTCCAAAGCGTCGATGTGGCCGTGGAACGAGTCTACAATGAGCTGAAGGCTCTGGGTGAGCTGGACAACACGTACATTGTCTATACCTCGGATCATGGATATCACCTTGGCCAATTTGGCTTGATCAAGGGCAAGAGTTTCCCCTTCGAGTTCGACGTGCGTGTGCCCTTCCTCATACGGGGCCCAGGAATTCAGGCGTCCAAGGTGTAAGTTATTAATGCACATTTCTCTAATCTGTCTAATCTGTGCTAATCGAGTCTTTTCTTGTCTGCAGTGTAAACGAAATTGTGCTGAATGTAGATCTGGCGCCCACATTCTTGGACATGGGCGGGGTGCCGACACCACAGCACATGGATGGTCGCAGTATTCTTCCGCTGCTGCTCAGTCGCAATCGGATTGTGCGCGACACCTGGCCAGACAGCTTCCTCATTGAGAGTTCAGGCCGTCGGGAGACGGCAGAGCAGATAGCCGAATCCCGGGCGCGATTGCTGGCGGATCGGCACAGCATGAAGCTAGTCAATAGCACGCTGCTGGAGGATTTACTGGGCAGCGACAACAACAGCAGCAGCACCAGCAGCAGCAGCACGGTAGCTACCTTGCTGAGCTCCGTGGTAACCACAACGGAACAGGAAGAGTTTGAAGAGGATCTTGACACCGACACTGAAGACGAAGATGGAGATGATGCAATGGACAGCTCTGCGGCTGCAGTGGACGATGAGGATCTGGTGGATGCCGGTGCCGAAGACGACGACGATGATGAACTTGAAGAACAGGAACTGCTGCAGCAGCAGGACAACAATCTGCCAATAGCTCCCTACATCACAAAAATGATGCGACTGAACTCCGAGTGCTCCGATCCGGCGCTGCTTAAGAACTGCCTGCCAGGCCAAAAGTGGAAATGCGTGAATGAGGAGGGACGCTGGCGTAAGCACAAGTGCAAGTTCCACGTGAGTATAGTATACCCGAAGGAGCAATCAATCATCAGGTGATAAATCAACCCTTCATTTTTAGCTGCAACTTGAGCACCAGCTAGCGGCGATGCCCCGCAAGCAATACCAACGAAATTGTGCCTGTTTCACCTCGAATGGATTGGTCTACACCAAGATTCGAGCGCCGACTTCATCCCTGCACTCCCATCGCCTGCACAAGCGCACCCAAATGCAGCACCACCAGCATCATCAGCACCTCGGAAAGAGGCGCCACAAACGGCAAGTCGATCGGGAAGTCTATCACTCAGAGATGCCTTACGAGATGGAAGAACTGCTGGACTTAAGCCAGGCAGTCGATCTGCTTTCCGAACACAAGAGCAGAAGCAAACGGGCAGCATCCACTGGTCAAAGCCTAACAGCGAACAGCTCGAACTCCAATTCCAATGCAAATGAAGCTATTGCTGTGGTCATACAGCAAATCCAGACCACTTTGGAAACGTTGGAGCACAAGTTTAATGAGCATGAACTGCACAATCGCAGCACAGCTCCTCTGGGACGAGGAGACAAATTTTCGAAGGGCGGGACCCGCTGCTATGTGGAGGAGAGCACGGACAAGGTCAATTGCTCGGATGTCATCTACGATGATGAGAAGACCTGGCGCACCTCTCGAAACCAAATCGATATGCTCATCAAGCTGCTAAAGGACAAGATCAGTACACTGAAGGACATGAAGAAGCAGATGCGAGAGAGCAAGCAACAAGCGGCAGCGGCTGGCAGACGAGGCGAGGGCCGGCGGCGCAACGATCCAGCAGGCGGTGCTCAGGAAGCAGCCGGTCCCGAGTTCAACATGAGTTACTTTAGTGACATCGGGAGCACGCCACGCTCTGTATTACCGTCAAATGTGTACAGCGGTGGCCAAAAGGATATCATTCGCGGTATTGGAGGCGCTGCTGCCTACGATTTCCTGGATCAATCCCAGACACCACATTATGCATCGCGCGCAGAGTGCTACTGCGAGCCAGATGCGGGCGAGAGGTAAGCATCATGGAAGCTGTAATCGCTGCTCCACTAACATATTGTCAATTTCACAGCTACGCGGACTCCAAGGAAATGGCACGCGAGGCACGACGTAAGCTCAAGGAGGAGCGACAGCGCAAGAAGGAACGCAAGCGCATCAAGAAAGCGCGTCTGGAGAAAGAGTGTCTGTCGGAGAAGATGAACTGCTTCTCCCATGACAATCAGCACTGGCGCACAGCGCCCTTCTGGAACGATAGCCCCTTCTGCTTCTGCATGAATGCCAACAACAACACCTATTCCTGTCTGCGCACCATCAATGCCACTCACGATTTTCTCTACTGTGAATTTACTACGGGATTGATAACCTTTTATAATCTAACAATCGGTAAAGTGTTCCCCAAGTCAAGTCATCGAGACATCTTCATTTCAATTTAATTTATTTGTCCACAGATCGCTTTGAAACACAGAATCAGGCTTCCAGTCTGACGCCTGCTGAGAGATCGCATATGCATGACACGCTGGATCGCCTGAAGGGCTGCCGTGGCCGCAACTGCAGCATACGCAGACAGCTGCCGCACCTGGGCATGGCAGCAGCCAGCCTACCCACCGCCACCAATCACGTGCAGCGCAACAACAAACGCAAGCATAGTAAGCAGCAAGTTGAATATATCTCTAGCAAAGAGCGTTCTAAGACACCTATTGTATTTCGCAGACCCTTTGTCGGCCAGCGTGGGCAACTTTGGCTTTGTGGGCAGCCGGCTGGACATGGACGTGGTGCCACCTGCCAAGCGGCGCAAACTCTCCAAATATCACAGGCAAGTTGGTAACTGAATCCCGACTCTGATGTGTACTTAATCATTTGAACTCGACCACAGATGGACCAACTCGCAGAACACGCATCTTAAGCGACGCCCCTGGAAGCAACAATCGCACAGATACTTGCCCCAGCCGCCGGTGCCCGCTGTGGCTGCCTGAGCAGCCTTGCCATTGCCATTGCCATTATCATTATATTCACCCAGTGCCCAGTGAGCACATATGTACATCCTAGCTTGCCAAATCCATTCGGCGCACTGCTCCGGTCTGCATGTATGAATAGATAGCTGTGGAATGCGCTCTGGAATATTCTTCAGTTTTTCATTTTAAGTAAATAAGACTGTGTTTTTTTGTATTCAACTTACATTTAGTTCTATATCTCTTACACTTTGCAACTGTGTCTCCTTCTCTGCTTCTTTGGCTTCAGCACGCAATATAAACGAAAGGTAGTTAGCATTAAGTGATTTAATTTGTATATAAATTTAGGACGAGAGAGTGAAAATATTTACACACTACATAAATTATTTAGCGCAATTGGTTTTACAATTAAATTATATAGTAGACGAGTACACTTAGCCAAGAAATCAATTTACCATAGAGCTCATATTTACACGCACATCTGTAGCATTTGTATTTATTGGAAACGCTACGCAAATAACGAACTGTTATTGTTTTTTAATGCAAAATCTGCGACAATGGCTACTTGTTGCCGTTGTGCCCTACTGTTTAAGTCAACTTGTTTTAGCAGGCCTCGCGCCCATGAACAAATATTGTAGCTGCTATAGCAACCCTAACTAATATCGTCTATTTAACAAACTTAATCTAACACAATAAAAATACATATGTAAAAATCAGTACCTATTTAAAACTAAATGACTTTTATTGCGAACTCTAATGGAATTTATATTAGAATATTTCTGATGAACGAGCTCCGATGTCCGATCTTAATAATTGGAGAATCTTTAGCACTTGCGAAACGATCACGTTATTCCTAATGCTTTAGACGTGTATTATGTTCTAATCAGTGAAAAATTAATTAATTTTGTCAATATTTATGAAAACATGATAATGGCACACGATACTCGTTAATTTATGACGTACTCTTAGAAAATTAACTAATCACGGTTCACGCTCGCACCTTTGTTAACCGGATTTCTTAAATATCCAAACAGGTTTATATCCATCTATAGGGATTGCACATTTTTTATATTAAAGATGGATCGAATTAGCAAACACAGTGAGAGAGAGAGAGAGAGAGAGAGATCTTGCCTCAGCCATTATGATACTTATTTGATGTTCATTTACAAATTTATCCTAATAAATTGTATAAGCGATGCTCAATTTATTGCTACAATTTTTAAACTAGAATTCAATTTCTGCAATTGCCTCGCAGACAGACAGATTTTGATATTTTGCAACGTAACTAATTTATTTATTATATATTATATTTTTTATTATATATAATATATGTATATATATAAGATTACGTGTAAAACATAATACATGAAGTTTTCTTTGCATTTTTAGTAGCCACTCAATTTCGAGAACTTTTCTTTCTCAAGATCTGAAGTACACATGTTAATAAGTTTGAAAACAAAAAACTACTAAGTTCATACAAAAATATATTAATCTTAACATTCATTTCCTACAGTTTTCAAAATATTGTATTTATCACTAAATTCTGTTGTCCACCTTTTGGTGCTCAGTCGCACTACTAATTTAATGAACATAGCTGTATATATATATGTATATATATTCTATGATACTCAGCTTTATATTTCCATGAACACAGCTGATCTTCAGCATAAATTGAATACAATTTGATTATCCCAATATGAATTTGACATTCTCAGAAGCATATCTTAAATAGAATTTTATATTTTCTAATTATGTGAGTTGCATTTTTGAAGCTTCGTAAAGTATGCAACAGAAATGTTGTGTCACTAAAAGAGCATTACGAATTATGCGGCATACTTATTCTTAAATAGAGAACAGCAGTAAATATTCACAGCAAAACAAACGAAAATAACAATACGCTTACAACAGGTAACTGATCTTTAGTTCAGGCTGCCAAAATCATTTAAATAGTATTCGAATAAACAGCAATCTGTTTTCATTTTGTTTGTAAAATGATTTCGGATTTGTATTAAACTTGTGCTTTGCGGTCAGGGCTTGCTCATGTATTGCAATACTTTTAGAAAACTCTACATAATAGCTGAATAGAGTGAAACACAGATGTAGACAAAAGAAAGTGAATTCCCCTCAAGTCTCAAGCCAGCAAAACGAAATAAATAATATTAGGAATATCTGGAGCGAGGTTTATTGCTACAAATAATTATAGATTTTTGGATCTTTAGAAATCTCTTACACTTCAATTGTATTCTAAATATTAATAATCGGTTTGTCTCAGGCAGTAAAGCCACGCAGGAGCGCAAACAGTTTTATCTCCAAAATTCGTAGTATTTTAGAAAAAGTTAGTTGTTCAACCAGGTCAACAAGGAATTACTCAACTTAGGCATTGCTATCAGCCGAATTGTAAAGATTAAAATGATTAACTGTTGACCGATATTGAAGGCTCTACGTAAATGATTTTTGGGGGGTCGTATACAACGGCAATAATCAATGCAAACATCAAGTTTTTGGCAATTACTTGGGCAAATGTATGTGAATGTATTTTGTATGCACGACAACTTATGTCTGATAAGTGATAATCACTGATAACAAACACTTGTAGGCGCTGATTGCTATTAGAATGTGTGAGAATGGCAGCCAGCTTCCATGGTTCCAGATGGCCCAAGCCACAGTCACAGTCAAGAATCAAGCTGTCAAACGAAGAGAACTAGCCCAGAGCGAGATTCACTGTCACAAGCAGCATCATCGGCAGCAGATGTAAATAAGATCGAACATATGCGCTAATTAACTTGCCGAGATGTTTTCATCTGCTGTCAAATATTGTTACCCAGTTGCCAATTCACACTTGACACTTGACGCGCTAATTTCCGCTGCAGCTTTAGTTGCCAGCGAGAGGAGGTTGCGGGTCTTCCCACCTTATCGCGGCCAAAACAAAGAGAGCGTGAATGGGAGCGAGTGAGCGAGACTGCCGACGCTCCGAGCGAACATGGGGAGATATCGTGTTAAAATTTTGCGCAAGCAGCAAAGTTATCAGCTTGAAATTTATTTATTGTTGTTTGCTAGGGGACTGACATATATCTGCCTGGTGCCTAGGTAACTAGGCACTAACACGGGGCCTAACCGAGGCCTTTGTACCAGCATATTGTACCCCACTCAGCCCGCCCAAGCCCCCCATGATTCCCGTCGCTTGTGTTGCTCGATCTTGGAATAGCAACGAGCTCATTTATTGCACGACGGGGCCAGTTTACGATTTGCGCACTTCAATCGAGTTATCGTGCTGAAATTTCACAATTTCAGAATTGCCTCACCTGAAACGGGGCCTGCTCTTGGAGGGATTCAATATGGAGCGCCAGGCACGTACACAAACTAAACTGGGCAGGTGTTAAGTTTCACAAAAGCAAATTATGCGATTCACAGAACGATGAACCTAACGAGAGCCCCACTAGAGCTGGAGACCCCAGATAAATGTATTTATTTAAAACAATGTTTCTGAAAAGCAAAAGATATTAATAAACTAACATAAAGCCAAGACGATAAGTGCATTATCTTTCTAGGTAATTCTTGGTTAAACAGCAGCTAGCCTTAAGATTAGAACTTAAGATCAATGTTATCTGCCAAGTGGACATGAAGTCAATACTTAAGAATTCTTGTTTTAGTAACTCATTCCATTATCATTATCAGAGTCATATTTGTTTATATAAATGAAATTGACTTAAGTTATATAAGCAGCAGAGTCGACACAATTTGTTACTTCTTTCAGATAATCTTAGCAAAAATTCCCAAAAAAAAGAGAGAATAAAAAACATAGATGTTCGCATCGTGACTGCTGTAAATATTTGCACAAGTTTATTTTGCCTTTGAGAGAATGGGAGTTATTAAATTCTTCAATATCTATTCAATCAGTTATTTAACAAATACAAGCGCCCAGCGGTCATCTAATAGGTAAATATTTTCTGTGAAATTCGTGCTAATTGATAAACACAAACAACTTTTCGCAGTTTTCGTACTCGACAATTTTCATATGTGAAAGCAGCAATCGCCCTGAAGATCATTTCACTTGGTAACAAGCTATAATTTGTATGGTCGAATGGTCAAATGTTTGGGATTTCAACAAGGGATTAACAATTGTTTATCTAATCCACACTTCGACATTCCTACTGTCAAAATAAGAACCAAGTCAGACTATATGAAAGTTCAGAAACTGAGAACATTGCCTAGGCTTTGGTAGACTTAAGTTTTACTATAATCATATGATTTCAAACTATTTAAACAAACCTCAACAATTTTAGTCCTGCATTTCCTGAAGGATTTTAAATCTTTTTAGCTAATTAAAAAGTTTGGCTTTGACAACTTACTTAAGGGGAATAACAACAATTATAATGTTAATTATCGATATCAATTTAAGTGGCAAGTGTTAAGTGTTTACTGTACATATTTAATTATACCCAAGCGGAGGTTTTTATAATATTGTCACGATGTGCCAGAGTGAACTACTGAGCATCCTCGCTTCCACGAGGGAAATACATATATTCTTGATTTTTTTCCATTTGCCCTTGGGTTTCAAGCGAGATATATTTAAGATCAGTGGGATCTGTCGCTTGTTAATTGAGTTCTGGGAAATGTCTCAAATGTCTCATGTATGATATCATATATCATATATCATACATCATATATCATATTTCATATTTCATATATCATTTGTTTTAGTTTTCTTAATCGCGCTTTTCCTTTAAATACCATTAAGCAGTAATTATATTATCAGGTTGTGTAATGAATTATCACTTTCGAAATTGACTTTTGATAGCATTGCTTCAATAGTAATACAAATATTTAGTGGAATATGATTAATTGTTTTTATATTTCACATAATTTAAGTATTTGATTTACATCTTTATGACTACCTAGATAAATACAAAAGACTTATAATAATTATTTACAATCGCTGCTTAGCAGTTAGTAAAGTGTTTAGTTATTGGTACGTCCTACAGGTAGAACCATCTCCTAGTGATGATTGGCCTCGAGCAGCTTTTGGGTCACCTGGCGCAGCACCTGCAACTGCTCTTTGTACTTGTGCGCAGCCGCCAGCTGCTCAGCCTCGGTGTGGTGTGGATGAGCCTCTGTGTTGGAGTCGGCTTCACCATGGTGATCGTGATGGTCCTCTCCAGAGGCGGAACAGCTATTTCCGTGGCTATGACCATGGCCGCCACTGGCACCTGCAAGTCAAAACCAAAGCAATTGCATTTATGAGCTTGACGATTTGATGTGGAAAACGTGAATCAGAGAACTAGTTGCAACTGAGATGCAATAACCGCAAGATAGTTGACATGTAAACCGGATCTGTGCAAAATCAAATCTATATATGCATATGTATATTTGTATATAAAAGCAAAAGTACCGATCCAACTTGCCTATGTACTTTTTGCTGCCATTTTTCTGTATCTATATCTATATCTACATACATCTTTATTGATATTGTTGGAGAGTCAATGTAAAGTACTGACGGTTCTTTTTGCTTGCCGCATTGGGCATAACCAGTGGCGATGGGATGATTTCACTGCGGGATTTTCCTTAACTTGTTTGCGTTGTACACAACACCACCGGCATCTCAGACCGCAGAGCGGCGAGAAGGTCTGTTACAAGGTTAAAACCGCAAAAAAAATATTATAATAAAAAAAAAGGTTTTCGATCTATCTTTGCGGCACGCATGCTCTGTAAAGAACCTGTTCCTATTTCGACGGAATTGATTCCGGTTAAAAGCATATAAGCTCTCGCAATCTGTTGCCTAAGCTCACACACACACACACACACACACACACACACACACATCGTTTGTTTACTCACCGAGCTGTTGCAATCCGAACATAATCAGAAAGCCAACAAAGAGCGCCAGATAAGCTCGCAGGCCGGATCGATTCTTCGATAGTATCTCGAAGAAGACCACATAGATGAGCGTGCCGCAGGCGAAGCCTTGCAGTATGGCCGACACCAGGTTGGGGCCGCCGCCATGCTGTCCGTGGCTAATCAGTATGCCCAGCCCGATGCCCAGCGGACTGACAACCGCAAATGTCAGCACGTAGAGCACAGCCAGACTAAGTCGGGTGCGCGCCACAATCAGCTCGACGCCCACGCAAAATGCCAGCACCAGCTTGTGCGCCGAGACGGCGCCGAACATGAACCACACCGAGCTGGCGGTGCCCTCCAGACCAATGGCCATGCCCTCGAAGAGCTCATGCAGCGACAGAGCCAGCACAATGAAGAGTCCTCGCAGCGAGGAGGTTAGCATGTCATTCGACGCCATTGAGCCATCGCCGATGGCCAAATGGCTGTGTCCGTGACCATGCCCGTGGCTATGGCCATGGCTGTGCGCGTGACTGTGCTTCTCATGATGAACTGCGCCATATTTCTGCTGTTCCAGATCGTTTTGCATCAGATCCTGCACAGATAGCGTCGCATTGTTGCCGGCTGTCGTGAGCTCCGCGCTGTCGCCGTTCGGGGCCGTGGAAGACTCCGACTTCACCAGATGGCTGTGGCGAATGCTGTGTCCGCGCTCGAAGGCGGCGCCAGCATCGTCGTGGTGATGCCTGTGCACATACGAGTGCATGGCCTCCTCAACGAAGTACATGAGAAAGAAGCCGCAGCACATGAGCAGCTCGGCCAGCGGGAATGTCAGTTCGCCAATGATTTCGCACGTCTGCAGCTGCTCAACCACCTCCTGCACCTCGGGCAGCAGGTGGAGAAATGTGGTGGCCAGCAGAACGCCGCCACCAAAGTAGAGCAGGCACTTGACCACGGTAGCCGAACGGGCGTTTGTTTGGTTCTCGGTCCAGCGATAGTAGCGATTCAACAGGAACGGTATGGAGCCGCAGAGGGCACTGGCGCAGCAGAGCACCACCATGGCAGTTACTTTGGCCGTTAGCAGTGAGCCGGAGTCGTCATGATCGTGATCGTGATCGTGATCATGATCGTGATCGTGATCGTGATCGTGGTCATGATCGTGAGCGTGCTCATGTTCACTGTGATGAGCCGCTAAGTGACGGGCGGGCTCATCAATTTGCAGGAAGCATTTCAGAAAATTATTCACTTGTGTTTGATTCATTGTTGCTTTGAATTTATTTTCGTGTGCCTCAGCAGACCTCAGTCGCAATTGTTCCTTTGCTTCTCTTCTTCTCTCTCGCTCGTTCTCGCTGCAGCGCTCTTTGTCTTTGGCCTATAATTGCCAAAATGTTATTTTTGTTCGTGCAGCAAATGCTTCATCGGGAGTCCGGAGTTGAGTTCTGCTTTGAATGTCAACGATTTTCACTTTTCTTTTTCAAAATGGTTTTCTTTCACAAACGAAAACGGGATTCGACCGTCGAAGTTTTGTTTTAGATTTATTGTCTTTTTAACTTTTTTACTTAACGCTCTTTGGGGAGATTTCTATTTGTTTTCCGCCACACAAGTCATGAACGCTCGGAGCAATCTCACAGACTGATTGGCGTTGGTTGAAACCGAGTCTGGCTGGAGCTGTTTCTGCCAGTTAGTGGCGACTGTCTATCTTGCAGTTATTTGCTTTGCTCTGCCTGCCCGCCTGCAACAGACAGCAGCTAAATACTCTCGCACCGTCGCGACGCGCCGCTCGCGTCAACTCTACGTGAGCAGCAAATTAAGTAAGCGTCAACAAACAGCGATACTCTTAAAGCTCTAACTGGCCTCTCTTCTGCATACTCGAACGTTCACCTGTTGAACAACTATAATTTGCTTTGGACTAAGCATAATACGTACAGCACTCACACACGCACACATGCGCACACACACACGCGCAACGAAATTAAGATTAGCTTAGCGAATTCGTTCACTGAATCCCTTCACTTTTCGCATCGCTAGTGAGTGTGACAGAGATGTCTGACCTTTAGCTAGCTTTTGTTAGGATCAAATTGCTTTGCTATGTTATTTCTTGAACAATCGCTGCCCGCTTGGCCAATCACAACGAAAGCTTTCGCTGCAAGATATACAAAAGCTCGTGGTGCTTGTCTTGGCTAAATTTTAGCAATTTACCTTAGTTAAATGCAAAAACAGTTACCAATCACTACAAATTGGTCTGTTAGACCTGTACGATCACGCGACCGGAAAATCGTGCAAATAATATAATTATTAATTAAATATATTAACTTATAAAACAAAAACCAGGTGTTAGTCATGCGCTGGATCGCAGCTGATTAGCTACACTTCAACTGATATTTTTAACAATTAAACCCTTAATTGCAGTTTATAAACAAATGTGAACTGGTGACGACATTTCCATACTTGTTTCAACACTTCGCTTAGAAATAAATCTATTAAGCAATTGCAATAATTTACATTTTCTTCTCTACTTACCTCAACGAAGTAGTTCTATAATGTCGTTTAGCTATATTTATTTGCATAAAATAACAATTTGTATGCAAAACTTTCATAATAAAGCAATCTCGCTTTATGATATCCTAGAGATTTTTTTAGCATATCGAAGGATTTAATATAAATAAAATATACATAATAAATAAATATTTTACTAAAATCTTGTTACACTTCATTTCATTTCATTTGTCATAATCATTTCAATATTTTAAATAAAAGCACTTTACAGTATAATAAATATATATCTTGTTCAATCTTATTCGCATTAAGTCGCCTGCTCAATAAATTGTTAACTACATGACTTCGTGTCGACGGGTTAGCGCAAGATTGAGATAAATACAAATAATTTAATAATTATATATTTCAACTGCTTAATAAAACATTTATATCAGCCGCTGCCTAAAGCTAAAACTAAACAGATAATATAATTCTTGGGGCCGCTCAATTAGCCATTCTGATTAGTTGCCAGGTATACGCAAAACAAGTAGGAACGCTGCAGACGGGCGAAGGGTGAAGTAGAACTTTGTTAGGAGAAATTATTAACTCTTTATACGAAGAGTAAGTGTTCAAAATTTCACAACAAGACGAAAGTTGCACGAATCCCATCTTAAGAGTAAGTACAAAAATTAAAACTGAAAGAAAATTTAAGTTATTTCATAAAATATTTAATATTAACAAAGTTTGCCTTTAATCATAGTTAACTCAGTCTATATTAGCATGAAAGTCTATAGGTTCAGTCATCAAACTTCATTTTATCTACATACAACTTTTATTCCTATAGCAGTAGATCTTCAATTGCAGAAGGTAAACAGGTTAATCAATAACAGAATATATTCAAGTTCAATTGTTATTGCATTTTCTAGGAATAATTATTAAACATTTATAGATCAGCTTACCAAACAATGCTGATAGAAACTGAATTTAAAAAGATAATGAAATCTGTTTAATAATTAAACTATTCTCAAATGACTTTTATATATATGTTATAATATATATATAGATATGTTATAATAATTTTCAAGTATTTCCCAATAACTCTGTGTAATTGCTGCAGATCACTTGATCACTACGTTTACTTACCCACTCGCCCACTGATAAAAGACGACGCATTTATTTAAATTTTTTTTAATAATTTTCTTTTATTTTGTTTTCATTTTTAGCTTGTTTTTTTCTGTTTTTTTTTTTCTTCCGTTTGTTTCTTAGGGGGTTTCTTTCTTTTGCTTAAATCTTGTATGTTTTGTTACTTATAATTAATAATAAATCATTTTTATACAATATTTATCTTTTACATACTTGTTCTCACTTGTCAACTGAAATGGCGCTTAAAACATTCTCAGCTGTAAATGACTTCTTAAATATTTGTTTAATGTTTTGTTTTTGTCGCTCGCGTATGCAATAAATTTAAATGTTAAATTTGTTTAAAACTGCTTGCCAGAGTTAACAACGTTAACTACTTATCCTGCATTTAGCGAAAGGCTCTGCGTGCATTGCTTGCGCCAACCGGTTCAACTCCCCCGCACTCCTACGCTCGATCTCTCGAAAACTGTTCTGAATTCCTTCTTCTTCTTCTGCTCAGCTTTTCCCTCAATTTGGTAAATATATATATTTAATCAATGCATGCGCTTAATTTGTTGTGTTGTATATTCTTTTTCTGTTTTATGTTTTGTTTCTTTATCAACATTAAAGTACATTATTTTGTATTCATAATTTGTTATACTTGACTGTTCATATAAATATCGCTTTCTTTTTATTGTTTAGCATAATTTTATTTTCTTTTGTTTTGTGTTTTACGCTTTAGATTTCATATATAATACAAATGATTTTCATTTAACTATACAAGAAATTTGGTAAGTTTTAAATTTTTGTTTTGTTTTGTTTCTTTATTTTGCATTTTCTTTTTATATGATATATGTATCATGCAATGTTTTGAAATTTGATTTTTTTTACCCATGTTTGAATATAATAGCAAAAACACATTTAAAGTTAATTTGAATTCTTTGCTTCATTTGTCGTAAAGTCAACAAACACTATTTTCATCTATCTTCCCACTTTTCTCGTAGTATGTATATTTATAAGTATAAAAATTTGTTTAAAATATATATCATAGAGTTGCTGTTTTTTTCTTTTGTTTTATTTTGAATGGGGAAGGAAAACAAATTACAGTACAGATGGGTTGAAAGTAGTTTGCTTCGCACATATATATTCCGATATATATATATATATATATATATACATATATGAATTTGTTTGAAGAGGTTTAGATCTGTGTTCATGTTTGAATGGGTTCGGGAGGCGTAGCTGCAGGCAGCTTTTAGTGTAGTAAGTATGTAAGTTTAGTATCACGTAATATCAAAATAAATAGCTCAGTACTTTGTTCATATTTTCTCTTGATATTTTTGTTTATCTTCCCTTCTTTCGTTTAACATTAACTATAAAGTGTGATTGATCTTGAGTAGTTGCTAGTTTCATTTACTTTTCAGTTTCTCCTGTAATTTCTTTTACCTTTCGTTAGCTATTGGAAAACAAGGTGCCGCCTAGAAGGACAATGTGCTCTACTAGATATTTTTGGTTAAGGCTTTATGTGTGGAATTCCAGCTGCACTGCATGCGATTACTTTTAATTTTTTTGTTTTTGTGTTTCGCTTTTATTTTTTCTAAATTTCGTAAATAAAATTGACCTAAAGACACACACTAATCAAATAAATGCACTTATCTTGTACAAAATGAATTCGACTACAAAAACTTGAATCTTCGCATATCATGCTTGACCTTCTCGGCATTAGTTATAAAAATTATGTACAATAGCATATACAATATATATATATTTATAAAAAACGTGCATCAAAAATCAGAGCTAAACAAAAGCTGCCTACGCTAACAGGGGCTGCGGGGGTGCACAGTGTGGGGGTGTGTGTGGGTTGTGTGTGTTGTGTGGGTGTTGGTGGCGCAAACGAAATATAATTTCTTTCAGTTTGTTCAATAGTTCTTCAAACGAAATACGCGTATTTTAATGTACAATTTGTTGTCTATAAATATTTATGTATATATATGTATATGCTTTGTTGTTGTATTTGACGCTGCACTAGTTTTTAAATATATATCTGTATAGATTTATATAAATATGTTTAAGTGGTACGCTGTGGCGTGTGTGTGTGTGTTAAGTTCTTAAAAGTTAGGATCAATTGGATTTATTCTCAGCTTTTAGCACGACACTGAGCTGAGCTGCCTGGCTTTGAATTATGAAATGTAATATGACAGAGTTTTGTATTTGTTATTTTGTATTAAATTTTGATGTATATTATTTGCTTTTTGTTTCTCCTTTGTTTTTATTAATAATATAATTAATAATTATAATAATTTATATAATTAACATAAACGCAAAATTGGTAAATAATAAAAATAATAATAAAATTGTGTTTTCTTTTATTTTTGTTGTTTTCGTTTGAATTTTTTACTGTTTTTTTTCTATTTTCTTTTGTTGTGTTTGTGGTGTTTAATGTTTTTAGGTGTTTCTTTATCTTGTTTGTTTTATTTTTTTTTGTTTTTTGTTTTTTTTTTTTGTTTGTTTGTTGTTTTTCGCTTTTCTATTTACGGATTTCTGTATTTATATAAATTACAACGGAAGTGTCGGTGTATTTGTAGTTGGTGTTGGCGTCAACATCGACGCGGATGGAGGATAACGCAACGTGTGCTGCGACGTTGCCTGTTGGATGTAATCCTGACTCGGATTATTCAATACGCTATCCCGTGAGTTTGAATGTGAAGTGGCGCGCAGCAAGGTAACTGCCTCGCGTTCTGGACTACATTGTACACCTTCTAGTCATTTTTGGCGCGTTGATTTCTTCTTCTTTCGTTTAAAGAAACAACAACATCTGGAATATAAGGAACCACTAGAAACAGTTACAAAAAAGAACCGAAAAGAGAGATGCGCATTAAAACGACAAAGCAAAAACACCAAAACGTTAAATTGATTCGCTCGTTGGCAAATCGATCTATCGATATATCGATTTATCGTTCGATTCACCAAGAGCAATCGCATCGGACTCGTCACATACTTTGTTTCGTCGACAAGCTCTACTTCCGGCTGTTGGGTGATGGGCGTATTGGAGTGTCCGGCCGTGGGATCGTCCGCATTCAGTTCGCCGTTTGTCGAACTCACAACCTGTAAAAACGACACAAACAAAATGCAGAGCATTGCACAAAATTATTTGCATTAGTCTCGACTGAATCACGTCCACACTCTAACACTAAACATAGAGGATACATATTGTCTGCATTGATATTAAGTACTTGGTGATAATACATATTGGACGTATCGTAAACCCTTTGATTGCTTATAACGCTAGTCAAAAACAAATGAAAACCATAATATTTTACTGTCTACAAACGAAACAAAAACACAATGAACAAAAACAATGTCCCATCAGGAAGTTGATGAGTTCCTGCTATTATTGTGCAACTACCAAGTGAATGTGATCAAATTTGGATAGTTTTTCTTCCGTTCTCTGGCATGGGCGTTATGTCTAATGAGCTGCAAACGTGCTGCCATTGAAAGGCATTTTCCCTCATCATTATTTACTTTATAAAGTTACGAAAATGACAAATGAATGTAGAAAAAAATATTACAATATGAAGATAAGAATTTTGAAAGTTTCTGCATATTTCAATATTTATTATTTTATATGAGATTTGTCATTAGTTTCTAATGTGATTCATAGAAACACACCTCAGTTCTACAGAGATTGCCTTTCCATATTCAGCTCGTTTGCAGCTACGAATGTGTTAAAAGACTGATCCTAACTGAACATATTTACACAAGAGACAAGCACACACACACACAAACACACACTCGCACATACACACATGACGGACGCACATATAGAAGACGTTTTAAACTGGAGAACAGGCCACAGGAATTGCATAAAAATACCTCGCAGCAGTCACTGTTGGCACTAGATACAAACGTAAATAAAACCTTATAGCTTATATTTGTTTTGGGGTAGGCAATTTTATTGGATGCAGTAGGTAGTAGGTAGTAGGTAGAAGACAGACAGTAGATAGCAGATAGCAGATAATGGAGGTAGAAGTGGTATTATTTCTTGGGCCCATCGTCACCATCGCTTGTCTCATAATAAGCATCAAATGGGCTATCATCGTCCGAGCTTGAATCTTCGGGCAATCTCTGTAATAAGTTTGGTTTTTGATATGTTTTCTTCTTCTTTGTCTTTGTCGTTAAACAGTTGCCTCTGCTTGCAAATGGACATGCCAATGAAATTGATTATGTGCACAGTAAAAAATCTTGGTTAACTTTTATGCGGAATTCCATAAAAAGTGATCAATAAAGAAATTTAAAATTTTAATAATTCCCTTGTTTCCTTCTCTCCCAAGTTCTTTATAATCCACACTTTATTTTATTGTACTGCTAAAAATGGATTTAAAATCGAGAACTCAACCAACATTTTTTACTGTGTAAAAGATTATGATAATCTAATAATTGCCGAATTCTCAAAAACTGTGCAGACTATGGGTATATACCTATATATACGTATCTATATGTGTGTGAAAGGTACATGCAGTGCGTAGTTTCCAGTGTGAGACATGCGGAATGCGATCAGTGTTGGTTAACGCCATGCAGTGCGAAAAAATTATTGTTAAGAGAGGTCGTCTCAAGAGCTATTGCATTGTTCTCTACATTCATATTCATCATATTTTTGACATGCAATCGATTTCGATATATATTTTTTGAGCTAGATACCAAAGCTAGGCACATTCCATTCTGTAATCGGCGCAGGATATTTCAAATTTCAAAAAGTATGTCCGAGAAAAAAAGAATTAGTGGAACGGAACGGAACGAGAGAACAAACAAACCGAACGATTGTACTTAGGTAGAATAGAAACACTTGGGATATATTGAATTCAGTACCTTGTTGAGCTAATGTAGAGTAAATCAAGTGAAAACATTAGAATTGAAAAGGCCAAAAATATAACAGTCTGCGAGTAATTCAATTAATAGATATTGTTTGTTGTTGTAATCATCATCATCATCATATTATCATTATCATTATCACTATCACATAATAATGTAAGTATATTAATAAGCTAAGGATATATATGTATATGTTTAATGGATGCGTATGCTCTTAATGTTACACATAGAGAGTTCAACGAGCGGGATACGAAAGAGCAGAGAACATTTATGTGCTTAACATGTAGAACCTAGAATAGACACCCGATTATACTGGCATGAAATGGGGGGTTGAGAGTGGGTAGCGCTCAAATCAGTTAGTTCTCTAGTTGGATTCATGAGTTTTTAAATATTTACAGAAAACAAAACCGAACTGATAACTGAACGATACAGAAAAACGAAATGCGGTAGACATTTGTCGCCTGGCTTGAGCCGCGGCTTCATCTACGACTCTGGACTTACCTGCACTGAACCATGCCGATCGGCGGGTGTCAGATTGCCAAGGGTCGCACCCGGCTTGGGCACGTCCGGCCACGCAGCAACACCTCCTTTGGCATTTGTCTGTGGTTGGTTTCGACCGGAGCAGAGGAGAAGTGCGGAACGGAGCGGATCGGATCGGATCGGTTGGAGTTTCGTTTTACAGTGTGTCGGATGGTAATATGGTTTTGGTAGAGCGAGCGAGCGAGCAATGCATAAATTTATCAATTATTAAATTTAGTTTTTGTCGTTTTCAAAAGACAGAGAGACTAGACGCTATTGTTTTGTGGCTATCAACAAAAGTAAGAACTAAAGCAATTCAAGTCGAGTGTGCGCCCAAATGAACTAAAGTTATTGTTGTGTAAAATAAAAACCAAGTTTATAACAATTAAAACAGTTAAAGCCAAATTAAAACTCCCAACGCCTGCAGTTGTGTGTTTGTGTGTGCGTGTGTAGAAGGGTGTGCAGCAGCAGCAAATGCTAAATAAGAACCGTTCACCAAATTTATTCAAAGCCCAAAAAAAAAGCAGCAAAATCTTTGATGTTAGTTTCGTTAAACAATCGCCAGATGTAGAGCTTTCTACGCTCTCTAGCACTACGAGTCTTTTCTGCTCCTTTGCCTGGACCTTTTTACAACGCAGTGGAAAGTAAATGTCTTGCTAGGCTTACAATTAACGCCAAGGATCGAGCAAATGGAATCGAAAAGCAGCAAGTTTCGAGCCGACCAACAGTTAGTTAAGAGTTAATGAAATAAAAAGCATCAGCTAAATATACATAATTCAAGTATAGCAATTACATTGATCTATCCTTCTAGCTCACTGAAACGACAGTTATTATTAAAAGCTAACCAGGTACAAAACGTATTTCTACATACTTTAAGTCTTTTAACTCTAACCTGAAGTATTATATATTCTTCATTTTCATTTTCAATTTCATCAAAATCAAAATACGAGACGTCCTAAAGCAAGTCGGGTTTAATAATCAGGAAAAATATTGGAATTTTTTTATAGGTAAACGAGAAACGAAAAGCAGAAACCAAGTAAGAGCAATTAGGTAAGAAGAGTTTATTGTAATTACGAAGAAAAATAAAACTAATTTAAAACTATGGAAGTATTAAAAATAAAAAATTGAGCTTTAAACTTAGTAATTAGAAAACTGTTTGCCTTATAACCGGAAGAATTGTAACCAAAACACAAAAAAAAAAAATAAGAAGTTATATAACAGAGAAGAAGTTTCTCACGAAAATTGTCAGTGATAGATTAGAATACTTTACCTTAGCCGTAACATTATGACGATCTTTATTTGGTGAAATGATGACTTCATGGCCAGTTTGGAGAGATCCGACGGGCGTTGACTGTGGGCGTGGTTGATTGGTCAATGATATATTATATATGGATGCGGTCGATTTAGTTGTTCGATTTGTATTATTTATATATATTTAATTCAAATTTTAGACACAGATACACGCAGACATATGAATAAATATATTTTTTGTTGATTTATTTGTTTAATTGTGTTTGTATTTGTTGTTTTATAGGTTTTGCGGATGTTGTTGACAATCATAAGGACAGAATTTCGAAGAAAGAGAGAGAGAGAAAGAAGAGAGTGCTGTTAGAATGGCTTCAATTACAGTTAGTTCAATTCGATTGGGTCTTAATGCTAGTGCTTAACAATAAAGAAAGGCGAGCTTGCGACTGGCGATTACCAACACTGAACAAGCAATCTAACGGCAATGGGCAATACGCATAGCACCGATTCACTGGCAGTACGGACGAGCACATAGAGAACTGATTCGAGTATACCTTATCCGATTTATTCTTGGCCAAATACGATGGCGGCGCATTTTTAATAACCTTCATTTGATCCAGCTGGTCCTTGGTCTTATAATGACGGCACATACACACGGGCAGTTCAAGCATACACAGAAAGAAATGCTCATTATCGAATCAAGTTCAAAATAATATAAGGAAAGCGCACGCAAGCAATAAATGAAAACAATATAAATATTTGGTTGATTTTGCTTTTTTTTTTTGGGGATTTTTTCATCACTGCTTTCAGTTTAGTTTGGTCTCTCTTTAATTTAATTTTGTAATTGGCGCTTTATAAAAATATATATTCATAAACGGAATGAATGAAATAACATCGCGCTGCAACAAGAACCGAAATAGAATTGAATCGAATTGAACAATCTGGGCCCATCATCATATTCAATCATAATCATCTGCTGTTAAGCTCGCATCGTTTTGGGCATCTTTGGCTGTTTTGCATGCTATCCAAAATATTACTGATTTTTCAACTCTATACTTTCTACCGGGAGGGCCTTCAACATGCATTGCCCATTTTAAAATGATCATTTTAGAGTTACATGAGGAGGCGCATTACTCAAGTGTTAGATACTGGATTGTCTTGCTTTGCTTAGGTCTCCTATAAATTAAATACGAGTATAGAATTCGGCTCAGATGGTTGTTAAATGGTAATGCGAATATCAATTTCAAATGATGCACATATTTTCGATATGGACCGTGATCGTCATGGCAAATCGCTAAGAAGCTTCAACTTGCTACCTACCATGGTTTTCCCTGTCCAGTCAAATTCGCCCTCGTCGGTATAGCCCTTACGTTCGAATAAGTCTTGAAACAGTCTTCGCAGAAAATCATAATCGGGTGTTTCGAAAAAATCTAACCGCCGCACGTAACGCAAATATGTTGCAAACTCTTCGGGGTGGCCGTCACAAAGTACCTGCAATAAATTAAGAATTGTAATTAATGGAAACAAAAAATTGTTTTTTTAAATGTATTTTTGTTGCTTTTGAATTCTGAAAAAGGCGAGCTGCTAGACAATCTCTCAATCTCTCCGATATCTTCTAACTATCTAACATCTTAGTTTTAAGAACAGATATAAACATGTTTAGTGAACAGTCAGATGTATGAATTCTACTAGAGTCCTGTTAGCATTACTTTTTTGGCATTTTAGAAAGCTTTTCCTATTTCCCATTTCTTATTTTTTAAAGTTTTTTGGTGCGCAGTATCAAAGTTTCGCTTAGCTCACAATCAGAATTCAGAAGCTTAAATGCCATATATATGTATTGAGCCTCACCTCAATAGGTGTTGCACGTTTTGTATCACCGATTTTTTGATATCTCTCTTTGAGTGTATCAGCCTTAAGGCCTTGCCAGGGCAGTGATCCTCTTAAGAAGTACATAAACATATGACCCAGAGCCTCCAGATCGTCACGTCTCGACTGCTCGCGTCCCATATGCGTGTTGATCGACATATAGCGAGCGGTGCCCGTCAGGGACTTATGATCCCGATATGGTATATGTCTATTTGTATCTAAATCAATATATTCTTTGGCCAAACCGAAATCTGCAGACACAAAAAAGGCAATAGATTAGCGGTTCACTCCTCGTTCATATAATCACTTACCAATTATGTGTATAATTTTTTCACGTTTTGTTGATGTTCTGCCAATGAGAAAATTCTCAGGTTTTACATCCCTATAAATTAAGTGCCGACTATGAACATATTCGATCCGGTGGAGCTGTGGCCAGCAACAAGTTCACAATTGGTAAGGGAAAATAAAATTCGATTAGTTTTTGCTTAGTTATGGAAGAAGAAAACACTTCCAGTCTGTCTGCCAAGGAGCAAACAGCAAAAGGCAACTTCATTAAGAATTCATACAATTTTCAGTTGTTCGTTCTGTGTGCTCATTGACAGACCGAGGAAATGTCGAAATATGAATATTGAATTATAGAATGTCAATCTGATTTGTAGTGTCTCAACTAGCTGAAGTTTTGTTGTTGTTGGTTTTGATGGCAACGGTTTTTGGTAACTTAACTCGATACGATTTCTTTTCTTGAAATTAGAAAAATTAATGTGAACACGCTTCGAATGTAAACTCAAAAAATATTTCTAGTTTAACTACATAATAAATGTGCATGCAATTATTTATTATTATTTTTTAATATTATGAACTGATTGTTTTTTATTACAATGAACGTTGGCAGTTAACAACTAAATTGTAGATATTGAAAAAGATGCTAGATAAGAAGCGGCATTAAATGTGTATGGCATTAGAATGCATTGTGATTAATTCTAAACTAAAACGTTAAGAACTTAAACACTATTTGAATACAACCTTAACCAGTTATTGTCTACAAATGAGGTAAAACGATAAGATCAGGTGGCAGACAAGACTCAAATTAATAAGAAGCATTATTTTCTTGTTGCTGTTGTTGTTGTTAGTTAGCAAAATCATAAGGAAAATAATTGAAAGTAAGAAGACAAATTAAACAAAATAAATACGTCGCGCAGATAAATTAATATTGATTAACTTAATAGAAATTCACCCAAGCAGGCCCTACAAATACTCTCTCTCTCTCACACACACAGACACGCAATCTCAAACAAAAATCGGATCAGGTTTTCGGGTAATATATATATGTGTGAAATTTTGCGCTTGCGTGGCCAGTGTTGGTTAATTGTTGGCTTAGCTGCTACCAGTGTTGTGTACGTGAACGAATATGTGAAATGTTTTGAGAAATGCGCGTGCTCGAATAAAAAATTACTTTTTGCTGTCGTTTGTTTGTTTTTTTAGCTGTTTTTAATTTTTTGATTTTTTTTTTTTGTGATTTTGGTTGTACTTACTAATTGTATAGCTATCAGTAGTACGCTCTTCAAAGTGAAACGTCTGCCGCAAATATCGAACAAATCTTCGAGTGATGGACCAAGCAATTCCATAACAAGAGCATTGTACTTGCCGCATGGGCCGAAGTAATATACTTCTGGTACACCCTCTGCTACAGGCCAACAAAAATTTCGGAAATTTTCAAAGTATGGGTCGTTGGATTGTGTAGAATAAAAAGCGATTTTTAAAAATTTACATTTTTTTGTTTGGTTTTTGATTTTGTTTTGGTTTTGTTTAGGTTTTGTTTTCAGTGTTGGGCAGCGCACAGAAGTAACGTTGTTTGATCGTTTGTTGTTGTTGTTGTTTTATGCAAAAAAAAATCGACAGATATAAGAGTTAAGAGAGAGAAAGAGAAAGGAAAGTAGGATATAGAGAGTGAGGACAAATAGTGAAAAAAATTATTTAATATATATATATATATTTCGTTTGTATTATTCCAGCTTTTTTGTAATAGGGGATCACCGGGAAGAACATGAGAAGTCAAAGAGAGATAGAGAAAGTGAAAAGGATAACGAGCGAGCGAACGACAGTGAGATTTATGACTCTTTGAGGTTAGTTTAGCGCGTCTTACGTTTTATTACCACCTTTTTAAATAACTGCTTCATCACTTTGGGAATTGGATTTTTCGTTTTTATTTATTTTTAATCGAAAACTGTGCTAAAAACAACAAGAACAACAAAAATAGAGATTCTCGAAGCATATAACGAGGAAGCCTATGAAACGACCCTCGCTCATCATTAATAACTGATTTATAACTCTGGGCAGCAACTCCAGATATCGTAATACTACGTTGACAACAGTCATACAGTTATACAGTTATACTGTTATACAGTTATACAGTGATACAGTGATTCAGTTATATAGTTATTCAGTTAACACAGTGCCTGCATTCGACTTATAGCTACAGTAACTGCATTTACAAGCCAAATCTTAAGTTTAACTTAGGTGTAGAGTTGAGTGTATAACAGTTAAGTGTAGGCTCTGGGCCTGGCCCATATAGAGTGTTGTTGTATCTGTTGTTGTTGGTTTACCACTTTATTTAGCAAAATATGTTTATTTCTTGGAGCTGTGTTAGTAAATTGGTTAAAATAAGTATAATCATAGAGGCACATACAACAAGTTTGTCATTAATTGAAATCAAGAGAGAAAAACAAATGGGAAAAATCGTTAACTTAGGCAACTAACGAGGAACTGTGGTTAATCAACTGCTTTTGCAATACTTGTTTTCGATATACAAAGAAAGAGAGTTGTTCTTGATTATTTACATAGGAACGTTGTAAGTAGTTTTGCCTATTAACGACTCTTAGTTTACATGCTTTATAATTTAATTGGTGATTTAATTTGATTTCAATTGGATTTTAAATGAGCTACAACCCAAGGAGTAAGACAAAAAACAAAAAAAACCAAAAAAATTTTGCTTTTTTATTTTTAACTACGACGACAGAGGTAATTTCAGTTCGTTTAGTTCGACTACAAAAAATAAAATGTTGACACTAACGTTCATTGTGTTCTTTTGCAATAGGATTATTCAAAATAATAATAAAAAAGAGTTGCTAACATGAAACGTTTAGCCGTTGAGACACTTTGCTTAAAAATGTTGTTTTTAAATCGAAATAAATTACAGTGTAGAGTAGCGCTTGAGCGAAATAGGCGGCGGACTTCACACTCGCAGCGTAGCACTCAGTCCGTCAGGGGGACTGGACCACATCGAACAATACTTCGGACCATGTGAAATCCGCGCTAATTCGCTCAAACATTAATTTGTTCGCATTCCATTTTTAATAAACTTACAAGTTGTTTCGCTATCATCAATACAGTCTTAAGTGAAAATTTACGGGAGCAAATATTGAAGAGATCTTCTAACGATAATCCCAATAACTCTAAAACCATGGCATTATAACGGCCACCGCAAGTGCCCAAGTGATAAATGCGTGGTATGCCTTCTGGGGCGTTTTCGGCTGTAGGAACATCGGATTGGTATTGTTTTTACAGGGTATGTGCCATGCCATCACAATGTTTTATGCAAAAGAAAGCCGATTGAAGCCGATTGTTTTGGTGTTGGTTGATCGGTTGTTTGGTTGTTGGTTGTTGGTTGTTGGTTATTGGTTGGTTGTCGCATGATGATTTATATATATATATATATATATATATATATATATATATATATACATATTTTTTTTGACACGGGATTTATTCAATATCGTATCCGTGACCGTGATCGTGATCGTGATCATTTTCAATTTCATATTTCACAGCGAAAGTTCATTGGTGGATGGTGTTTTTGATGGTTGAATGAAGGAACATAGCAATTTACATATATATGTATATATATATTTATGCATATATATTTATGTATTTATATATAAGAACAACGAAAAAAGAACGGGCGAAAAAATAACGTAAAATTTGTTTAATAAGGTTGAGTTGAGAAATCAGCATATAGTAAGTTGGTGGGCATAAAATCAGAAGAATATAATGGCTGTACAGCTGAGCTGTGTCCAAAATATGCAATAGAAGTCATTGTTTATAGTATTTTTATTATTATTTCTTCTCTTTTTTTTTGTTCGTAATTTAATTCACGCACCGACCTCCGAAATATGCTTGAGAAAATCTATTCATGTATTCTTATGTGTATTCTTATAGCACTTCGAGCTCAAAGTGTTATATATGGAATAGAAATTACGAGTTTACTTGACTAACGAAGGTGGTAACGGTGCAAAACATGGTTTAATTGGATTGGTAGTTGGAGTAAGTGGGAGTGGGTTAGCAGTTAGTCGATAACTCGACAATTGGGCAAGGTAAAATTTATGTTTTTTGGAATATTTTCCTTCTTTTTTTTTTGGGTGGTGAGGGGTTTATTTTGTTAGTCGTTTTTACGGGGTGGTGTTGAGGTTGGCATAGCGTGTACTGATAATTATAATAAAAACATTTTAACATACCATGTGATCCTAATAGCTTATAAAACCTATACTCTAAGTGTAGTTGCGGAGCCTTCGACTTCATAGGCTCCATTTTTATTGCTACATGTTCATTGTTGTAAAGATTTTTTCCTGCAAAAGAAAGAAATGCGATTGTTAGCAAATGATTCCCAAAAGAATTATAGTATGTTCTTTAAAACCGTATCAACAACCCGTCACATGCCTAGCAAACTGAGACACACACACACACACACACACACACAAACATACATAACATCATGCTCAAGAGCTCAACTGCAACTGATCTCAACTAACTGGAACTGGCATGCAGATGACGCGCCTCCTACCTGTAACATTATCAGCGCCACGCCCAACACCAGCAGCAACACCTCCAAAGCAACACATGCGTCGACCTGACCATGAAGAGAATACCATTTGAAATACGATTGACAAACGACCGCGCTGATTCCCGACCCATAATATACCCATCGACCCTATGTGAATTTCATTTCATGCCGTAACTCCAAGAAATGTACCACTTGATCAAATATATGTCTTTCAATCGATCAAATAATATCATACGTTAAACAATAATTCAATTTAATATTGCTTCTGGTTTTTGGTTGTTTAGGAAAAAGTTAATTTTAATTTACACATATATCATATTTATAAACAATCGCAACTAATTGCTTTGTTTTGCGGTTTGCGTGCACTTTTTCCAAAATTAAATGATTTGATTCATTAACTCACATACGTATTTATCTTTTGTATTCGCTTAATTGCATAAATCAAAATGAAATATTAATAAACATGTATAAAAAGCCGCTAGGTGCGAAATTATGTCATGAACGACTGCGGGGTAAAAGGGGGAAGAGCTTATCGTACGCAACATTGTCAACATTTGTAGTCATCAAGCGAGCGGAGCGACCACACTCACTCACTCACTCACAGACATTCACTCACTCTCACTCACACCCACCACCCATGTGGATACTCGTGTGCGAAAAGCCGCATGACTTTGATTACAACAAAGCAAATTTGTATATGGAGCAACACCCAATGGTCGGGGCGTGGCAGACTCGGCTTCCATGAATTTTTTTGTTTACCCATTTAATTTTTTTCCTAACAGTAATATAAACAATAAGATCTTTATCTTTAAATGTCGTCGTCTCCGTTTGAGCGGAAAAACAAATTAATTTTTCCTTAAATTCAGAATTCAGAATGCATTCTGTTTTCTATTGAAAATTAGTTGAAACATATATCGAATAAATATAAAAATAAAATAAATATGAATGCGAGTAACACACAAAATAATTGAAATATTTATAAAATATACATACACGCCTATATTGCCTAATTTCTTGAGCAATTATATAAAAACAACAAAAGCAGGCGCTGTTAGCCTTTATATGGTTTAACTCACACTAGAAGCGTGCCGTTGCTCAAGCGTAACTAAAGCTATCCTGACCTAACTCAATACACGAATCACATACAAAATTATATATATATATATATATATATATATATATTATATATGGTGCAAGTATGTTTGTGCAGACAATCTAACACGCACATAAATTGATGAATCTAGAAGTGCCTTTGTTTTAGCATTTTTTAATGTAGTTTGGATAAAACAAAATGAACAAACCGAACAAAATGAACTATATAAACAAAACTTGGGCAGCAATACGATCTAAACATTCTCCCATAATTAATACAAATACAAAAATAGTCTCAGGCATAATTATAATAATAAGACTCAACACAATTTCCGACCAAGCCACAATGTTAATTAACAGCAAGATAACAGAGCACTGTTAAGTGTCAGCGCAGTGCAACCAAATCAGCGAATGCCATAAATCGTTTCCTCAGTTCTGCGAAATCAACTGAATAAGATTAAAGGAAATTAAATTATGGTACAAAAACACTTTTTAATGAGCTCATCTTTGACCTGACTTAAAAATAAAATAAGTCCACTGAAAAACATAAATCGAAAAAACCATTTTTGGTGTAAAGTTGAGCAGTTTCGCCCCGAAGATGCTTTAAACGACTGCAAATTTTTTACCACTGTGTATAAATGTGAATCATTCGAATACTATCAGTACTTTTAGAAATTTAACACAAATTACAGAGATATTTGTGCGGCTTAATGCAATTTAAACCGTTTAATGTAAACTGCTGTTTTGTTTGGCCTTTGTGTCTTTAAGAAAAACTAAATCATTTGCCATTTATATGCATTTGCTAATTAAAGGTAGATTTTTTTCAAACAACTGCACAGACACTTATTTACCAGTTGCAGTGCAGAGTGATTCATGCACGAACACATATGCAACTGCGTGTGTGCAGGTGCTAAGAGCAAAAAGCAGAGCTCAAGACATTGAATGATCACCTAGCCGAGGAATAGAGACAAAGAAAGTGTGCAAAAAGGAGCCGGTAGGAATAAATGAGCAAAGCAAGATAGAATGTTGGGGCGGATGCAATTAGTTGTCATTCAAGGCGACGCGGGTCTGGCTGCTTAACAGTTTAAGCAGCACTGGACGTTGTTTGCTTGGCTACCTGTTGGCAATAACAAGCAGCAACAGTCGCGTCGCAACAGATGTATGCAAATGCACAAAAGGAAGTGGCAAGCCCACAAAAGAAATGAAAAGAAAAAACAGCCAACAGCCGACAGCCAACAGCCAAACGAAGTAGCAACAAGAAAAACACAATTTTATAAAAGCGCATTTAGCAAACAAAGCAAAAGTGGCGATGCCAACGACGACAACAGCAACAACAACGTCGACGGCTGCGACTGCGACTGCGACAACAAAACAGATGGCAAAATGGAATGGCATTTTATTTAGTATTTTGCAAAAATAAAAAAAAAAATTATAAAAAGTTCTTATTGTGGTTTCTCAGCCGCTGCTGCTCCCCACCTCATGCGCTGCCGCTGGCAGCCGTGAAAAGGAATGCACATGCAAAGGAAGTCACAACAAAGATGGCTATTCAAAGGTAGTCGAAGCCAACGTCGTGTCGCATGCCAAAAGCTTCAGCAAGCGACAGCAAAAGCAAAAATTATAACTTGTGGGCGTTAAAGCAGCGCGCGAGAAAATAACCCTCGCGTTGTAAACTCAAAAAAACTGTTTTACAGTTATAAGACGCACGTTGCTCGCAATCAGCTACCTGAGTGTGACGCGCCTAATGATGTAAGATTTGATTCGGTTTTGATAAGCTCATAAAGATACAGTTATGTTGGCCCACTGACAAAAGTCGCGTTGCAAGTTCTTTTTCTTGGGATAAACACAATGTCAATTGAAGTAGTCGCTTCAATGCGATTCTCAAAGTGCACTTTTTCTTTGTGCCTCAATTTGTGCTTTAACGAACTTTATTTTCCAAGATTTTAACCAGTAATAATGTATATAAAAGGAATTCTAGCGTAGTCTAAATAGACAATTATTAATATACCAGCTTGGTTAAATGTTCCAATTATTCAACCAAAAGAAATACTGATTTTATTCGATCAGTCATACATAATATTGCTTGCTCTTTCAACCGACCTTTTAATCGTTTCCTTTTGTTCAAGAGTTCATGAATTCATCAAGGACTATGAAACGATTTCGCTAGAGCATATTAATAAACAACGAATGAACTAATTCGATTTGTTTAATTTCCAATAAATAGTTAATGACTGGGCGTCCCTACTCTAGAACGAATTTAATGCAAATTTCGTGTTTACAGTTTAACTGTAGTATGTAAGACGGATACTTTAGCTAAAGATACTTTTCAAGCAGTCCGTTTCGTTAACAGTATTTGCAGCCCATACTTTGGCTATAATCTTGGCCCATTCACCATATATAAATCGGTTCGTTGATATATTGAATTAAAGATGAAACTTACCTAAACGCAATTCGCCAAAGTTACCACAGCCAATTTTTTTACCGACACGAAAATTTGGTCCGACCATGAGCACACCGGTTGTGGTGCTTACAGATTGGCGGGTGGAATACATGTTATTGCTTGTGCTCTTAACACCGGCAATGGTAGCATTTGCCACATTACCAGCGGATGGACCGGCAGTGGTTGTCTGTGGACCGCCGCTGCAAAGATAAAAGGAGGTAAAGAGAGAAAATTTATTGATTAGATATATATATATTAATGTCGAATAAATATACGTGCGTATGTGTGTGTGTGTTGGCATGGGTGTGTGTGTACGTATATATATGAGTGTGCGTGTGTGTGTGCGGATGTGTACGTGCGTGTGTGTGTGCATGCAACAACCTGAGATAGGTTTTAAACTTTTCGATCAACTTGGGCGCCATTTTTACAAGTCCTCACCAAACCATAAACAATGATTAACAGAAATATCTAATCGAATGAACGTAAACAAAGAGTTTTATATACAAAACACAGCCGCGAATTTCGCGATTAACAGACGCTCGTTCGGCTAATGATTTGTTGTATTTGTTGTGTTTGAATTGTAAAGTACGTACTCGGTTTTTTTATGTGTACGATACATTCAATTTTGAGAGACGATAAAAGCAAAGCAACGTTTTTTATACAACTTTTTTTTTTATAATTTTTCTAATTTTATTTTTTAAGTTTTTTTGAAATTTCAGCTGGTTTCCTTAAACAGTTGTGAGATCTCAAAAAGCTGTGTGATCTGATCATTTAAAATTCTGCTGGCCGACTACGTATACAAAATGTGTCCAAGTCATATCTTGGCTTACAACAGCTTGGCCGAAACGCTTTTGCGGCTGGCCATAGGCAACAAAAAAATGGCAACGAATTTGAAATACCCTAACAAGCCCGCGGCTAACTTGATTAGCTTTAATAATAAACAACAAATTCAAAAAATATACAAGGCTCATGGGCAAGGGAATACACAATATGCCTTAACTTGTTTATTTTATTAATTATTATTAATTATAAAAAGGAAAGGCCCAAGGCACATTTGTTTCTTTAACCAAGCCAAATGACGAAAAGATAGGCCTCATTTGCCAATAACAAAGAGTATTTATTTATAAAACTTGCTTGGCGTGGCAAAGGACAATGACACAAAAGTTTTCGCTTGCATTTTTAAATAACCACAACAAAGAGTGGCACAGAGACAGCCACAGACAACAGACAACCCGCAGCCAATCATAGATACTCGACTGTGACTACGACTGCGACCACAACTCTGACTCCTCCGCCTTCTCCTCCGATCAGCTAGGCGGCCATGTAATGTGGCCGCCCGCGCGGAACCAATTTGGGTGACTCATTCGTTGAGCGCGTCAGCTGGGCTTTCTGAAATATTATGGCACAATATATACAGGCAGACAGACAGACAAATATATATATATATATATATATATGAATACACATTTGATTAAGACAAAAGCCTTTTATGCTGTGTTGCTTGGCATTCACAGTTTGCTTTGCGCCTAGGGCGTGGCTTGGCGTGGAAAATCTGCTGTTGCAAATCTAGTTCAATGTCAGGTCAATCATTCGAATGATTGCAACATCTGCCACATCATGCAACGCACCGAGTCATAGGAATCTCAAGGGAAACCCAATACTATGGATGGCTGACTGAAGCTGGCGCAGTTTCCTTCGACAAGTGTCGTTTATCTCGGCTTGCCCTGAGCAAAAGTCAAGGCATTTCATTTGCCGTACATAACTCATTAATTAATTTATGCTATTGAGAACAAATGCTAAATTCGCACGAGAAAAAACATTTGCTTTGACCGAAAATAGTTGAATTCCTCTGAGCAAATTTTCGGCATTTCCCCAGATGAACAGACACGAGATGAAAGTAAATCGAGAAACGAGAAATTGAAAAATAAATTTAAACTAAAAACAATTCACTAAAATCAATTATTAAAGAGAAAACTTTAAAATAAGTTTCTTATAATGTCATGAATCGAAAAATTAAAATATAGAAATTATAAATAACATTCTTTATTCGGTATCAGTTTACAGTCATATCTGTACCCACACACATACACACACACATAGTCATAAAAAATCCGAAACATCGATAATTATACCGTTAAGCACTGCTGTTAAGGAAAAGAGTATAAACCGCCGATAACAATTAAGCCCAGAGCAATAACAGCAAACTTTCTGCAAATGTAGCAGCCAAATTGCTGTTGCTGTGTGTGAGCGAAGGGGCGTGTGGTGGGTAGTGGGAAGGCAACGGACTAAATCGAATTGAAACTCAAAAAAAAGAAACCAGTTTTTTGCCTCTTTGTCGCTGCTGTGCTGGCTGGTCGCTTGGGCAGGGGCCGCGGCCTGCATGGTTTTATGGCTTAATATCCTGCAGCGAAAACTGGTTCAAACCAATCCATCGATCGATCGCCGCAACGAACTTCACAGCGCGCTCCACAGCAGTTGAGTTTTCACAGTATTTTCGGGTCGTTCGCTTTACTTTACTTTACTTTACTTCTTATTTATTTTTCAGCCCTGTTCCAGGTTGCTTTGCACAAACGAGTTATATGCCTCTCCCTCTCTCTCTCTCTCTTCAGCTCTTTCTGTTCGCGTTTCCTTCTTTTTAGCTTTGTTCTTAAATTGCTTGGTGTTCGTTTTATGAATTAAATGTTAGGAAAAAGGCTCTGAGTTGGTACCGGGACAAGCGCACAGCTGGCCCGACTGTCGTTGACCGGTTTCTAGTTGAGAAAAGAAGGCAACAACACAACAAGCCCCTCCCACTCAACAGCACACGCACAGAGCTAAATAACTGTTCTCTGCAATTGCGAAAAAAAAAAAACAAAACAGTTCGCTTTATCAAGCATTGTAAAACAAAATCGAATCATAAAAGATTATTTAGGAATTTTTTAAGTTCCTCAAAGTTATTTGTAAAATATTTTAAGAAATTCACATTATTTTAGTATTCAAATAAAAGAAAGCTTTAGTACAGTGTAGTTATCCATAGATCGTGTATGACAGATCAATAAACTAAATGTTTTTTAATTTTATATGAACATCACTAATGTTTTTAATAGTATGTACATTACGTGAATGTAAATATTTAAGAAATTCAAAGTTTTTGAGCTAAATAAAATTTGTTTTAACTATTTTCCTTTAATACTGAGAAGCAGAAGTTTAATAAAATACAAAATAAAACAATCTGTCACAGTAAAAGAAAATTCATGTTAAATAAATTTAGAACAGAATCGATATTTAATTAAAAATAAGCCAATGGCTAAAAATAAAACTCTTTCATGGAAAAGTGGTTTTTCACACACACACACACACACTGGTAAATACGTGTTTGTGGTGAGCGCCGTGAAAAAGCGAAAATTGGACAAAAATTGAACTTAACGCAAAAATGGAAAGAGAAGTTAACGAGGCGGGTCGACTTGAATTGAGTTTGAAAATTTGTCATAACAGGCGGAAAATCCCCAGTGAAACTTGACAAACGAGTGTCACTACTTAGCAACAGCAACAACAACGACACCATAAACAACAACAACAATTGAAAAGTTTTTAGCATTAGCCAAAGCAATTTGCATAATTTATCAAATTATCGATTTCGCAGTTGACCAGTGCTTGTCAAACTATGAGTCAAAATACGCCTCGCATTTCTACTCACTTAGCCAATTTAATTAAGCAACACTTAGACCAGAAACCTTACAAAAACTTTTAGCGGCAACAATTATATAATGTGGCAAAAAGCCGCAGCCCAAAAACAAAAAATGTTAGCTTAAAAGTAAACAAGAAAACAAAGCAAAGCCGAAAAACTGTTGCTAGTAACACGCACACACAAATACGGTGTGCGTGTGTGTGTGTGTGTGTACTTGTATGCAAACATACACAAGAAACGCTTGATAAATAAAACAAGTGATAAGCTGGTTGCCTTATCAACTATTCGTCGTCTCATTCGCCTCATCCCAAATGGATTTGAACTGTGACGTGTTTGCGCCTCTCTTTTATATTGTTGTTCTTGTTGTTTTTTGCATTTTGCTTGTGCATAACAATTGCGTTGTTGCTATTTTTAGACACAAATCAATTTCATTTTAATTGTCGACAGCAATTGAATATAAATCGTGGCGAAAACAAAACACAAAAACCTTGTTGGAATCTCCCAGCTGTGCGAGTGTCGCTGCTGCTGCTGCTTCTGTTTCTATGTGATAAGAACATCAAATCTACTTTGATAAATTGCTTCGTTTAGATTAGTCAATTACAATTATTTGGAGGATATATCTGAATACATATATTTAATATATGTATATATTTCGCTGATAAATCACATATTGAAAGTTCATTATCAACTGCAAGCCGGAAACAGTGAACTGCCAATTATTTACATCCTTCCGGTTCGAGGCAGCCTTTTTATCTCGCGATGCTCCACAAATAGAAAGGCCATCAATTGCAAAGTTTCTTTTGAATGGAACGCCAATCTCTATGAATATCAAATGAGCAGCAGTAAGGCTTACAGCAAGAACTCTTTAAGCATTTCAAATGCAAATACCGTTCGCATTTGTGTTTAAAATTAGATATAAAGTTTTTAGAAATGAATAGAATGTTCATAATTCGATTCTATTGACAGAATGCCAACAATGCGCATTGTTATTGCCTTTATTACTTATGTATATTATTGCTTTTTCTACTCTTGATGTTGTTGTTGTTGTCGCTGTTGTTTGTAATCGAATTGCGGCACACAACATGTCAATATCCATTTTCAATGGCATTTGCCGTTGAATAAAAAAATACGAGAAACGAGCTGAAAAAAGCGCTGCACAGCAAACAAAAAGCGTAGCAATAGCGAACGCCTAAACAACAACAACAAGTGCAATACATATAAAGACAACGTTTTGATTCACATAACATAAATGAGCAGCCGGTTGCGCCTACATAGCCCCACTCCGACCCGCCCTACAATATGTTCAGAGACAACAAGCTGAACAAAACGATAAGCAAGGCACTCACAAACACACACACACACTCAAAGGCAATCTCTCATGTACACTCACACATATAGAGCAACACTCACGTCAACCATTGACGGCGCTGCAGTACACACACACGATCCGAAAAAAAAAAACAAATTGGCTAGATAAGGGCGCGTTGATTAGGGGCCGCGACGTCGTTGACAGACAAACAATAGCGAGTCAAAATGACTGAGAGCGAATATAAAGAGCTAAAAAGAGAGCCGGTAAAAAGAAATAGCAACGAGTAAGGCAACAACGAAAACAACAGCAGCAGCAGCAACCGCCCCACTGTCGACTGCAGTTAAGTTGCTTATGGGGTTAAATGCATTCGTGTGTGTGTCTGTGTGTGTGTGTGCTTGCTTAATATGTGTGAACGGCGTCTCAATGGCCGATTGACCTTTGCAAGTTAGATTAACATTGACTCGGCATCTCTGTATTGGCGCTTGTATGCACTTACTTTGTATGGTTCTGTGTTTGTATGAATGTATGCATAGATGTACATCTGTAGTGTTTGGGGGCCAGGCATCTAGCTACTTAATTAGTTTAGTCCGCAATTCGCACACGTGCATGAGCTAAAGTCTATGTAAATGAGCTTTAGAGGTCAACATTTATCAGCAGAACAGCGAAAACGCCCACCCAGCCAATTATACACACACAAAATACATACATACATACAACCAAACATACATAAATGATGCATGCACACATATAAATTGTCTGTAATTTGCTCTCTAGTGTCTTCTTCCTGCATAGACGACCTTCTCGCTCGTTAGCATTGCAATATACTTTTTCTACCCCACCGATAATGCTCTTCGTTCTAGTTTTGCGATTCCTTCCTTCCGCTTGAGGAAGGACGCCATTCCCCCGCCCACTTGTTCGCCAGCTTATCTGACGGCATTGAAAAGCCTCACGTGCATTGGCGGCCACAATACTTTTTCGAGTGTGGAAGTAAATACACACACAGAGCCATATGCACTCTGTCAGCACTGTAGTCTGTCTCATCTTGCAGCTTGGAGGTCAAAGTTTTTTATTTTTATCTTTTGAGATGGCAGAAAATTGCGAGTCTGGTAACACTGCCAGCTTCGAATTTACAGTCTGAAATGCGAGCTCCTTTTGACATATTTGCATACATACATATGACTGTATGCTTAACATATGCACACCAATACATATACATACATATGCAAGTTACACTAACCCGGCAAACTCCGTTTAACGGCGCTTTTATTTCTGCTTTGCTCTCTTTCACGCGCTCTCCGAACGCCGCTGTGGTCTCATGTATTCACGCTGGCAACGATGCGGGGGAGCCCAGCGCTAATGTTGCATGTCAAGCTGTAAGCACAGCTGTTTCTTCTGTTCCTCTGCTTCTGCTGCAACTGTTGCTGCGGCCGTTCACTCGATCTCGTTGACTGGCAGCGTCTATTGCTGCTGCAGGCAGATGTTGATGGTTGTTGTTTTAATTGAAACTTGTTTGGTAAATTGTTTAACTGTTATTGCAACTTGTGGTTTTATCATTTAATATGCAGACTGCACATGCACTTCATTATTTTTTGGCTTTTTCTAATAATTCAAAAATATTAACTTATTACTTTCTAAATTACATTTCATTCTTTATTATTAATAAAACATATTTTTATTTTTCGCACACAAAACACTTCACTTTTTCTTTTCATTTAATTATTTTTTATTTTTATTTTGTTTTTTTTTTTTTGCATCCGTCGATTATTTAACGCCAACGCGCTTTCTATTTTACACAATATCCACTAAAGTCTACAACAACAATGGCAGCAGTAGTCTCCACTAATTTTTGTTGCCTTTGCTTTTGTTTTTGGTTTGCCGCTGTGTGTCTGCCTGCCTGCCTGTCGCTCGACAATTAAAGCTCAACTACAGTCAGCACAGAGTGTGTTAAGTTGTTGAGTGCTGGGAGTTTGAGTGAAATATGTAAAATTGTGGTGTTGCGTTTTCTTTTTCACTTCTTTTTTGTTTTTTTTTTTATGTAATTTGTCATATCCGCTGCGCTGTGCCGCCGCGTGCCTGTGTGTGTGCATGAGGGAAATAGAGTGAGCTTAGGGCTCTGCTCATATCAGATGTTGCAATTCGAGATGCAACTTTCGCCACATTATGAAATTAATGAAGCGGAGGCGCCCCCAACAGTTTTTGCAGGTCAAATGTCTGAGGACTACTTATATGCATATACATACAGGTCTTTATAAATGTGGGCACACATACAATACGTAGAAAGAAGAGATACAGAAACCGAAAAGCCAGGCATAGCACAGGCAAAATATAAATTGTAGAAAAAGTCATAAATAACTCGAAAAACCAGTTTCATGTTGCCGGTGTACACACCAGGCAGCAAGAGAAACAACAACACCAATAACGCCAGCAGCATCAACAACAAACAAATGTGCAAGAAGTGCGCTGCGCTGCGCTGTTGTTGCTGCTGCTGCTTGAGTGAGCGAGCGAGAAGGCTAAGAATAACACTCTTAAAACTCGTTAAAGTTGTGCAGAAGATATAAAGCACAGGGGCAAAAAGACAGCTGACTCAAATCCGATACGTACATACACGTCTGTGCCTAAGTGTGCGTACGTGTGTGTGTGAGTGAGACGACTCATTAATGGAGTAGGCAGCAAAAAGACAAAGGCGACACTCAAAAGATAATAAGTTTTTACAGTTTGACAGACACAGCGCTCAGGTGCATAATATTGAGTGCAAACTTCAGACAAAGCAAGCACAACAGAATAGTTTTGTGTACATAAACTAACTTTGGAAAATGTAGCAGGCAGCAAACTCAAACTGGAGCAAACACAAA